ACAGACCGCTGTTTTAACGTTATTAGGGATCCATTCAACAAAGTAGCTGCTATTTTTGTTCTGAACGTTCAGCATTTGCTCATCTACCTCTTTCATTGACATACGGCCTCTAAACACAGCAGCTACGGTCAGATAGCGGCCGTGACGTGGGTCACACGCAGCCATCATGTTCTTTGCATCAAACATCTGCTGCGTTAGCTCCGGTACAGTCAGAGCACGGTATTGCTGGCTCCCACGGCTTGTGAGTGGGGCAAAACCAGGCATGAAAAAGTGCAAACGGGGGAAGGGAACCATGTTGACTGCCAGCTTCCGCAGGTCAGCATTAAGCTGGCCTGGGAAACGCAGGCAGGTGGTAACACCGCTCATGGTCGCTGACACTAAATGGTTCAGATCACCGTATGTTGGCGTTGTTAACTTCAGTGTTCTGAAGCATATATCATAGAGTGCTTCATTATCAATACAGTATGTTTCATCTGTGTTCTCCACAAGCTGGTGCACCGACAGCGTGGCATTGTACGGCTCTACTACAGTATCTGAGACTTTAGGGGAAGGTACAACACTGAAAGTATTCATAATTCGGTCTGGGTACTCTTCACGAATTTTGCTGATTAGGAGGGTACCCATACCGGAGCCAGTACCACCACCAAGAGAGTGAGTCAGCTGAAAGCCCTGGAGGCAATCACAGCTTTCTGCCTCCTTTCTTACAACATCTAATACAGAATCAACTAATTCAGCACCTTCCGTATAATGGCCCTTTGCCCAGTTGTTTCCTGCTCCGCTCTGACCTGGAAGAGAGCCATTTTCATATTAGATTACGGTCACTGCTTCCTGCTTGCAAGCAAAGCTTAAGAGCATCAGGCTATGGCAATCTCCCACAAAAGCTTTCATTTTATCATGCCTTGAGCTGCGGTTTCACAGAAGCACCTCTAAAATGGCTCGGTATACCTACACAGAAAGCATTCAGCACCCAGCAATGCGTCAACCCTTTCATTTCTCCCGATATTCCCGAGGAATAATGGGACTCGGAAGATCAACGACCTCTTACACCTTCTCGGCAGCTACCACCGTGCACCATCCGCAGCCCTCCGGTGACTCCACGCCCGTCACCAAGCGCCAGGATTACCCCCCCCCCCCCCTCCCGGGGCCGCATGCTTGGGAGCATGTGCGGCGGGGAAGCCCGCAGTGCAGCGTCCCTGCCCGCCCCACCCCACCCCGAGCCGGTTACACGGCGGGGCCCTCCCCCGCTCCCGGCGCACTCACCGAACACGAAGTTGTCCGGCCTGAAGATCTGCCCGAAGGGCCCGGAGCGCACCGAGTCCATGGTGCCGGGCTCCAGGTCCACCAGCACGGCGCGGGGCACGTACTTGCCACCTGCAAGACAGGGACGGGCCGTGACTGCGGCGCCTGGGGGGCGGCCGGGGGGGTTAATACCGGGGGGCGGCCGGGCCCTACCTGTGGCCTCGTTGTAGTACACGTTGATGCGCTCCAGCTGCAGGTCGCTGTCGCCGTGGTAGGTGCCGGTGGGGTCGATGCCATGCTCGTCGCTGATCACCTCCCAGAACTGCCGGGGACAAGCGCGTCAGGGCCGGCCCCGCCCGCCCGCCGCAGCCCTGCCGCCCGCCGCCGCCTCCCCCCCGGCCCCGAGCGCTGCCGCGGCCCCTGCCCGCACCTTGGCCCCGATCTGGTTGCCGCACTGCCCGGCCTGCAGGTGCACGATCTCCCTCATGATGGCGGCGGCACAGCGCACCCTTGACCAACGCCACTCGTCCCCCAACTGACTGGCTGCGTAAGGCGACCGCCAACCGCCTTATATAGCAGCGGAGTGCGCGCGCAGCATTCTATTCCCCGCCCGAGCGGCCGTCCGCGGCGCCCATTGGCTGACGATAGCGAGGCTCCGCGAATAGGGAGCTCTGATTGGCTGTCGCGCTGTCACTCAAACCCGCGCTCCTCTTCGTTCCGCCCGTTTGTCTGTTGATTTTACTGTTAGGCAACGGGCCGCCACGAGCTCCCGCCCTGCTCGCCCAGCGCGCTCTCCGATTGGCTGAATTGAATGATTGATGCCGGGCGTGATTGGCCGGCGGCCGCAGCGATGAGCTCACGCCATCTGATTGGACGCCGACCAAGTGCCCTAGTAACCGTCGCAATGACTCCGCAGCGGGCCCTGGGCGGTGGCTGGCGCAGCCGCCTATTCCCGAAGCCCCCTGCGCACTTTGCGCAGCGTGGGCGGCCGCTCCCCCTCGCTACCGGGGGGGGGGGGGGGGGGTGCGGTTGCCGTGGCAACCCCCGCGGGCCGTTCCCGCCACGGACCCCGAGCACCCCCCAACCTCCCCCCCACCCCCTCCCGGCCGGGCCTCCCTCGCCCCCCGCCCTCCGCAGGCCCCGGGGCGCCGCAGCGGCGCTGTGGGGGCAGGGAGGCGGAGTGCGCAGGCGCGGGCTGCGGCGCCTTTCTAGCACTTTCTGGCGCGCAGCCGCCTGAGGCGGCGGGGGCCGGGCGGGCGTTGCCATGGCAACGGCGCCTCACGCCCGGCGGCGGGAAAGGGGCCGGGGGGGGGGGAGCTCCGTGAGGGGGCGCCATGGCCGCGGGCGGCACCGGTGGGCGTGACAGAGAAATGGGTGCAGAACCGTCTGGGTTTCCCCACGGCAGGGCTGAAATGGCGTCTGAGGAGAGCTGCGCCCGGCGACACCTTCATCCTGAGCTGGCTGTTTGCGGCCCAGCCCTGTCATTAGGCGGCCCCACGTCCCAAGCCGAATAAACGTCTCCCTCACTTACCCTTTCTCTGTCTCATTCTGCGGCGCTGTCGCCTTCCACCGCCCAACTTAGTTAGCACATTCTTGCATAGGCGGTTCATCTGTTGGTCACGGCTTCTACCGAGCATGCTTTGGCTGTTGTTTTCGCAGGGCCTTTTTATGATTATACACGTTCATTAAGGGTGCCAGCACGGCCTACAAGTCCTAGCATCTCTTCTTGTTTCATAATGGAGCTACAACTTGAAAGAGGCTCTTAATTGGGTGCCCCAAGCCTAGCTAGTCGCAAACTGGTGCCTTGATGTGGGGGTGGACTGAGGCGAAAGCAGCAGTTGACCTCGATTCTTTCTACACAAACAGCACCCTGCGTGTCGTTCAGGTGTTCCTACAAGAGCTACATTATGACTTGTATAGATATCATGATCTACGCTTGGATAACAATAACCCAGCTGTTCCTGTGACAGGGTCAGGTGAGGAGATGAGCAGGAGAAGAAGAGTATCATGAAGACTTTTGCAGGAGATAAAATAGCCTCTGGTCGTTGGCTTAATGCAAGGGTGTGTGTGAATGATCCTTCTGGCATGTAAACAGCATGCACCCGCAGAGGTGCTGGAAGGAGCCCAGCAGCACCAGGAGCAGCCCCAGAAGCACCTGGGCAGCCCCCGGAGACCCTGGAGTACCTGAGGCAAGCTGAGAGCAGCTCCGGCAGCCCCGAGAAGCCCGGTGAGAGCCCTCTAGGTAGCCCCAGAGGTGCCCGGGCAGGACTAGGAAGACACAGATACTGCTCATCCTCCACATTCAAAGCCAGAAGGTAGGAGGTTTATGTAGTTTACTTAAAGATAGCTGAGTAATGCAAAGGTATTAGGGCCCAGATCCATCCCACATAATTACAGGCAGTGAATTGAATTGCTTTCTCTGGGCTGCATTCACACCAGAGCCGGTGGAAGGGGACGGCTCAGCCTGCTCCAGCTCTGCAAAGCCCTCTGACAACACCTCTCTGTGGTCCGTAAGGGTGTTTGTAGTAGCCAAATCCAAGATGTCTGTATCTCATTTAAGAACCAAAGGCAGCAAGGATCAGTCTGGAGCAGATTTGCTCAAGATTTCATATGAGTGTGCAATAACCTGTAAAGACTGCTTTTCCTCCAGGATGTCATGCCATATCTGCAGAGTAACAAAGAGCAAATGCCATCTTCTTTCTGATTAAGAAGATAGAAGGGAGTTTTATCTTGCTTGTGTTTTGCTGCTTGCAGTGTTCTGCTGTCTAGGAAAGTACATTCAGCACAAATTAAATTATTATCAAGGCCTGCTCAGAGCAGCGTTAGCAAGCATCTGTGCTCATGAAGCCCCAGAAAACTCTCCCTAAAAGCAGAGCAGGGGGAGACACTGCAGGGCCAGCAGGAGGTTTGCTGGTACAAGTGCTGCTGTATTTCATGCAGATACAGGGCTTTTTTTTTTTTTTTTTTTTTTTTTTTTTTTTTTTTTCTTAATTCCAGCCAGAAAGCAGAGGACTGTGTATCGGTGACAAATGTATTTCTTCGTTTCAAATTATGAGCTTTTGTAGCTTATGCTTCTGCCAGCTTGTGCTTGTGGTTCAGCCCTTGCTGCCTTTAGTGTTTAGGAAGCTGTTCTGTAATGTGTAGAGTGAGAAATGGTTGCCACCCCCAACATCCCCAGTGGTAGCAAAAAATGGAAATACTCTGCTCCATTATGATGTCCAATATCTGGCTCCTAAATGGTAGCAGGATCATACCCAGCAGAGTAGTGATAACACCCCGTGGGGTAGCTAAAACTTTGCTCCTGTGATTGAGACTTCAGAGGTTTCCCTGGGAGATTCAGCTACCTAAAGATCTGTGGATCGGGAGGCATTTCAAATTATACATGCAAAATTTATTTTTGCTATTTCTATTCCAGTCAGTCAGTACTTCTGTTAGCTACGTGCAGATCCACGGGAAATGACAATGCCATTTTAAATACTTTTGCATTTTTTAAATTAAAGTAAAATGCCATTATTTCTAAGCTCTCTGTGAGGAGGAGCACAACCAAGCTGCCAGGAGTCTCTATGGAGCTGCAGACCATCTTAGCCCTGTGACTTCGAGTGCTGTGGCAGCCCAGCAGCCTAATTTGTGTTACCAGAAGGTGAGCTGGCAAGTAGCGAGGCACATTGCTGCCAGAACCTTGTCTCACATAAAGCATTCCTTCAAAGGCAAACCATCTGCACAAAACTGACAATTCAGCAAGGTCTGGGAGAAAAAAAAATTGCAAATTGTATGGCCCTGCATGAACAAAATGATAAAGCATGTTTGTAAATGTCGGCTGTTTAGTGGACAGTCTGCAGAGAGGAGCTGCTGTGGATTCCCAGGGCAGGGGAGCAGGGGCAGTTGAAAAGCAATCGGATAGCACAGAAGGGAACAGCTAGAGCAAGCTGGGGAGAAACATGTCTCCTACATCGTTTCTTGTATTGAAAACATCTGCTTTAAATGGTATTTGATTTCTTTGGAAGCTCTCCTCAAACCTTGCTGCAAGTGACAAGAAAGGAGGCCTTACCTCATTTAGATGCTTCTGAATTTCCCATCTGTAAGTTTGCTGTATGAATTAATGGCTGTAACAGGGAAACTAGAAAACATTAGGGACCACTATTACCAGGCCAACGTCCCTGGGTTTAATCCAGAAGAAGACATGTTAGTGAAATTAAAGCTGGAAGTTGTGTTTCTATTTAATTATATATTAGTTATTTTCTAACTTTGATTGTTCTTACGAACTTTTTTCTGCTGCTTTCAGCATGGAAACATTTTGCTGTGAATACAATTGGTTTGAGTAGAGTAGAGAGATACCTTTGTTAACCTTTGAGTATTGCCTCCCCGTTCTACTGAACCACTGTTGTGTGTGTGTTATGGGGTGCTTAGAGATGATCCCTCCACTCAGCCACCCGGCAGGCAATGGCTGTAATTCTTGTTTTGACACTTAACCAGCAAGACAGCAGTCTGTGTCTCTGAAAAAGTGTTCTTGTCTAAACTGAGCCTAGTATCTGGGGTGGGGATGGGGGTGGGGCTGGCAGGAGCCCAAACCCAAATCACAGAACTAATTCTGTCCATGTAGGTAAAAATCTGGAGCTCTGAGTTCAAGAGAGGGGCACTGCAGAATAAATGTGAGTGGAAGACCTCTTCCCGAACTGCAAAGCTTTCAGTGGTGGTCCAGGTTTACAGTAAAACTGAAGTATGGCATGGGTATGGGTGCACATTTGTCATTCTGGTCTTTCTGATTGTTATTTCTGAGGATAAACAGTACTTTGCTTTCTAGAAATTATTGCTATCGAGAGATTCTACCTCAGATGGATCTTCCAAGGAAGCAGCTATTAAAGGTGAGGGGCTACTTCCAGAGACTGGTAAGTGAGAGGTGCAGCTGCAGAATTCCTGGCTGAGAGGACCAGGAACAGTTGGCTGGGATCAAGCCACAAGTCCATTCAGGCAATCTTGTCTTTAGTGATCAGCAGCCAAAGAAGAACAGGGCAGACATATTCAGATTTCGGGGTGGTTCCAGCAATTCTTTAGCCATAAGCAAGCATCTTTTTGTTTTATAGCCCCAGTGGATTGTTTTCTTATGAATTTATCTAATCACCTTTTGAAGCCAAATAAACTTTTGGCATAAGCAACCTCCCATCATGATGAGCCCCATGGTTTAACCACAAGCTGTGTGGAAGAAGAGCTCCTTCCATTTTGCTCCGTGATTTCTATGGAGCTTCTCAGTTCAGAATAATGCTGTGGACTTATCACTTCAAAGCTTGCACTCGAGAGCCTTAAACATTGTCAGTGATTACCATAAAATCGAGTGTAATGCTAAAACATCTTTTACTTGACAGAAATATCAGTATTTACTGGCAGTTTGTATCTCCCACATGTTTAAAACCAGTGAACTTTGAACATTGCTCCCATGTTTTCCTCATTCAGTTCCACAGTTTCACTGCTGTACATTGTCCAGAGATAAGTGCTGTAAGTCTCACCTTCTTTCACTCAGGAGAGCTGTTCCTCCAGAGAATTTCCACTGAGAAGTGGTGACTAATTCGATCATGAGGTAGGCATATGGTAACACCCCCTGCTGTGAACAAAAATAAACTTTCCTTCACACAGAAGTTGATTTTATCATTCCTCTTTCTCTCTCCAATCTCCTCTACTTCATTCCCACTGCAGTCCTCTTTCCAGTAGGGATTATTCATTCTCCTTCTCATTTCCAAAGGACCCTTCATCCATACTCCGTGCTAGTGCCCATCTCCCTGCACAGAAACCTTTTCCCACTGATGCCACAGTTTCTTAACTCACTGATTAGAACTGCTTTCGCCTCCCACATATAGAGAACCTCCATACTGCAACGAGTCTTTCATCTGTGTCCACATCAGGAGTCTCCTCGGCATGTTTCCAGACAAGTGTGCTTGCTAATTTATTTGATTTGTGGTGGGACCAGCTACTGGCTGCATTGGAGGTTCCCGAGGCTTAAGGCGCTGTCCTGCCAGCCTCCCTCTTGTGACTAATCCCCGTCATTACAACCGAGGGGAACAAGACCTTACGCTACTAGTGTTTATCTGACTAAGATCATCCTATTGCAAGAAGACTCTTTAATACTTCATATAGAGGGCGTAGTGGAAGCCAAGTCAAAGACTTCTCATCTGCCTAGTCTCCAGTGCGTACTGGTACACACTGGAGAAATTGGCTATGCTACACTTAAAAAACCTCAGAACACTTTAATTCAAGCATCCACTAGCCTGGGTTTGATGGTATTGTAAAAAGACTTTTATTTTAAGATAGCTGTGGCAAAAAATGGTGTTTTGCTTATCCCAATTTTAATTTGGGCTTGTTCTGCTAATAGCATTTTCATTTACTTTGGTGTGTTCTGAATTAGCTCTTGAAGTAGGAGTGATAGTCCATGAGGTAGGATATAAACATCATATGGCTTTCCACTTCTCTGGAAGATAGTCAGCTACATGATCATTGGCATGGTATAAGAAAAAAATGTACAAGGCACTGACCCATCTCCAAATTCAGCCATCATGAAAGTCATTCTGCTGGATTCACTCCACCAGTGGTCTTGGTTTTCAAACAATTTCACTTCTGTCTATTAGAAAAGCCCCTGAAAAAAAAAAAAAAAACAAAACACAAAACAAAACCAAAAAACTGACATGAGTGCAAGCACTGCAGTATTTGGTGCTGTACATTGTTTCTAGACCTTCCCCTAACCACTGATCTGGAAATCTTCACAGGCAGGACAGTATCTGAAAGAGAAGAAGAGTTACGATCGCCGCTTTAATAATGGGAAGCTGGAGCTCAGCCAGTAGGACAAGTTTTGCAAAGCTCATGCAGCCTGCCGTTCTCCCTGACCTCCTCATGACTTGGCAAGATCACCTATGGGTAGAGAGTCCGCCTCCGTGAAATCCTGATGTGTTGGTTCATCCATAGGCACCCTTCAAAATACACATATCTCAAAAAGCAGAACTTAGCTACAGCCTTGGATACAGTCAGGTACCAAGAGAGAGGTTAGGACTCAGTTTAGGTTTCTCTCCTACAACCCCAGGGAACGTGGGGGCATCAAAACAGGAAGAAGAGAGCAACTCTGGTCCTGTGGTGGTGGACTTGGTACTGCACAACTGCACTGCAGGCAATAAACCATTGTTCATCTCAATCTGTGGGGTAATCCATTGGTACCAAGTGGAAGGAATCTACTGGCTGGGAATGCACGATGCTTTGGAAATAATTCCAACTGGAAGAAAGACAAGGAGCTAATATACTCCTATAAACATGCTGAAGTGAAATTTAGGCTAATAGTCATCAGGAGGTCAGCTAACTTACTGTGTTTCTGGAGCTAAAGTAGACAAACCTCTTTCTGGTGTCTAATACGTTTGATTTCTTGCTTATTGATACTTGCTGACAGCAGCAGAACTGCAATTGCGTGTGAGCAGACATCACCTGCCAGAAGAGCTCTCCCATCGCTCAGCCCAGAGTGCGAAGGGAGGGAGCTATGCATAAACATACAGAATTTATGAACAGTTAGAAAATCCTCATTATTAATCATTTCCGCAGTTAAATATCTCGCTGTAACTAAAGGCTGCAAATGTCTTTGTTTCAAAGTGAGTTTATCTGGAATCTCCTTTTAAGTAGATTTCTGCTGTCCAGGTAATCTGGGGATTAGTTCTGCAAATTTACGTAGTGCTGAGATGGTGGAGCTGCTTCTGTAGGAAGCTGGGGGAAAGGAGTAGGTTACTTTTGTTAGCTTCCACTGTCCCTGTAGGTTCCCAATTTTGATTTTTTTATAAATTTATTCTTTTTATGACTAAAAACCCGCATTAGTGCTTTTAACATACCAGTCTAGCTCAGTGTCTAACAAATACATCTGTAAATTTTTTTTCTTTTTTTTTTTTTTTGCTGGGTAGTAAGATAATGTTATGCGCTTGCAATATTGCCCATCTGAAGCCCAGTTCACCTGGTAACCCTGGCTGCTGGGGGCTGCCTGTTGGAATGGGCATAACCATTACACGAGACCAAATTTGCCTGCCCACAACTGGTACCACAACGCGCAAGCAGTAGGCCTGCAGCAGGACACAGCAGTGGCTGTGTTTGGAAGAGGAGTGGTGGCAAAGGAGGGAGCGGAGCTGCCACGTGTGGTGTGGAGACCACTGAGGGAAAGAACTTCAGCCATCAAAATGTTCTTTCTGTGCCTTTGTTAAGAACAGCAGCTTTTAGCTCAAGCGTTTCAGAATCTGCTCTAAATCGAGCAGTTGTGGTTGTCTTCATATTGCAAAGTCTTATTTCGATGTCAGCTGGTGGCTGAGGTGACATGGATTTAATGTGGAAAGTGTGGTCCTCTGTGTGGGTCGTCACTCAGTGCAGGTACACGGCATCTGTGAGGCAGGAGCGAAATGTCAGGAGGACACGCTGAGCTTTTTGCCTAATTACTCACTTGTTATCTGCATGGAAGTCCCAAAGCGCCTGAACAAGAGCTTGGGGAAGTTCCCTGCAGAGTTCTTTCTCTTGGAACCTGTCATCTAGCATTCAAAATCAAGAATGAGCATAATGACTGAGCAGGCCAGAACACCTGCATTGCTGGTGTTCCTGGCATCTCACCTCCTTATTTCCATTTCTGACAGTGCTACCACGGGATTCTTTCTGGGCAGCTTGCAAATCTCAGCCTGGAATCCCACGGTTGTCCTATGTGCTGACAGGTCACAGAGCTGGAGAGCAGTTTTAAAATTGCATTTCCAGAAACAGGAGGAACGAAGTCACAGGAATTTCCCCCCCTGTCACTGTCTACCTCATAACCTCTTTTTTTTTTTTTTTTTTTTTCTTCCTATGCAGGCCTTTCTGAATCCCTCCTGCCTTATTCAGGCGGTTTGAGCAAAGAACACATCAAAGATGTTGACACATCTCTCATCAACTAAATACCAGAAGCCAGGTTATCTAAAGTCATTTTCTGCCTGCCTGCCACTGGGGAGAAAGTGCCTTCAGGGGTTCTCGTTGTGTACCCCGAAAGTACACAGCACAACAGCTCTTGAGTAAACAGTGGCAAAACCAGCATCCCCCATCCTCCTCGCTGAAACACTTTGTATTCACAATAAAAAACCCGCTTTGATCTCTTGCCAAGAATAACACAGACAGTGTATTAAAACATCTTTAATAACATGATATAATTAAAAATATCTAACGTGTAACTCAAAGAAATGAATATGAAGCTTGTTTCGATCTGTTTCCACACCCCTCCAAACTTGACTGACAGGTTACAACCCTTCATTAGTTGACCTGAAAATTTATGAATACACCAATATTAAGAATCAGGGGGGTGATATATATGAGTTAGGAGCACAAAGGATTAATAACCGGGTTCGAAAGGACTTGGGTGCCGTGGTAGCTTTAAATATCCTGCAAGGCACATCATTGCATCTGTGAACATTTAAATTTCTGTTTAAAGTGGTCTGAAATGAGTTGGAGGCACTTGTGCCTCAGGCTTTTAACAGCTTGTGTGTTTAAGTCTCTGAAGCAATATGAAAGGTGAACTCTAAATGCTGTAGTCAAAGGACATTTGTCTAAATCCATCCCCTCTTTCACGATAACATGGGGAATTTGTATAGTGCCTTGTGTTAGGAGAGCAGAGCAGAGCAGAGGAGCTGGAATGACTGCCAAGTCCCAGAGGAATCCTAAGTATTGGATTTTAAAGTAATTTTGGTCACAGTCTAACATGAAAGTCATTGGACTGACGGTTGGGAAAGCTTCTGTTCCTGGCTCTGCTCTCATCTAAAGGACAGTATTACACATCACACTCTAGAGGCAGTGAGACAAGCAGTTCAGTGCAAATGAATGAACTGGGGAACCTCAGGCCAGCATGCACCCGATTTTAACACGTGAGATTAGATGTGTTAATTTAAATCCTGTTTAAAGTGTTTAAATTGACAATTTTAACCCTGAGTTGCCATGACTCAGCTGAGAGACAGGAACTCAGCTGCATGTCTGTGCTCTTTGTTTCTCCTTTGATGTTGTGTATGTTTTGTGTGGACCAAGACCAAAACCCATTGCTTTTGAAGGATTCTCAGTCAGCTGGAGCATTCACTGGAAGGGATGCATGTGTACTGTCACTGATGTGGAAGGACAGGTCAGTAGTAGCAGGAAGAAAATACAAACCTTCTTCTCTGGAACATGAAAGCAAGTTGGCTGCTGTATTCTGATTGTATTTTAAGTCTGTTCCAGTCTTCATTAGTGGAGACATTGCAGGTATCTTCTCTCTTGTGGCCAGAGAAGAGGACAGCGCACCTTTTCCAGTTATCACCTCTTCTAATTAGGTAGGATTGTTCAATATTAACCTTGCAACAATGCTCAGGGCCTGCCTCCTCAAGGGAATGTTTTCATTAGGTAGACACTAGTAATCTCACTCGCAGCCCAAACAAGATCTGCACAAGCTGGTCTCATTTCGAAAACATACAGCTTGACATCCACTGGGAATCTCAGACTTCCTGCAGAGCAGGATCTGTTTTCTCAATGTACAGTAGTGCAAATGGTAGCAGGCTAAAGTAAGGCACTGAGGCTCTTGAGTCCTGAAGGAAAATCGCTTGCATCCTCCAGTGAATTACACCTATGTGATTTCTGTATGTACCCTGTTCCCTGCCCTCTGGCAAGAGTCCTGGAATAAGAGTCAGTTGTCATCAAAAACACTGCTGTTCCTGTTACTGAAGCTGTTTTCCTTGACCATCACTCGGTATGAGATGCGCATGAAAGAGCCAGTGAGTAGCACAACGAAGAGGATAAGGAGCAAAGACCAGACACCCGGTTCGATCCCCTTGAGGACTCCTGGGCTGTCCTGGGGGATGGTGTTGGTGAGACTCAGCAGGTACCCGAGAGTCCAGCCAGATGATGGATCACCAATCTATTGAAGTAAAAAGGAGGAGAGATCAGAAGAGAAGCAGACACTGTGGAGCCCAGCTGTGTTTCTGTACACAGGCCCAAAGCCTTAAATGCTTTATTTGAGACTGACCCAAGGATTAGGCTGGAAGTGAGCGGCTCTTCCTCTCCTAGGGAACACTGACAGGCCTTAACTGCCCTGCCCAGCCTCACCTGGGGCTTCCTCCCACCCCCTGCCCACTGGCCTTGGAGCCCTATTTAAGCTCTGGCCTGGGCAGCCAGCTCTCCCCTGAGCGATGCTGTGGGTGCAGCAGTGTGCTGTTCTTTCTCCTGCTTGCTGACTGGATTTCCCAGGTAGGCCTCTGCTGTAAGCAGCTTTGCTTGTGGTCCTATTGCCTGGGTGGATTTTAGGCTGGTGGGGTCAGTAGCTTGTCTTTGGCTTTCCAGTCTGAGCTTGCTGGATGGATCCCAGCCCTAACTCATTACCTTGCCTTTGTCTGACTCCTTCCATGTGGCTGACTGAGCTGCTATCACTGGTGCTGCCCTGCTCAGGTACTAGGAGATATGCCTTTGTCAGTGAGCGTTTGGCTCAGGAAATATTATCAGCAGTTTGTCCTAAGCATTAAGTGGCAATGGAGCTTCTTCTGCTTATTAGACGTGGATTCTTAAAGATGATACTGCTTCAGATAAGGTTTTGGCCTTTCTGGTTTTCAGTAGGGGCAAGAGGAATCCCTAGCTCTCTGACATTCTTTCCTGCTTCTAAAAACTGAATTTATTTTGCAAAACTATGTTGCTGGAGAAACCTTGTTGGTTAGGGCTTGTAGGACTGGGAACAGACTGGCTTTACTGAAAGCATCCCTCCCTTGTCATTGGACACACCACACCTTGGTAACTGACCTCTCGGAAGGCAGTCTGAACAGACTTATCGAAGTCCAGCGTGTATCCCTTTGTACCGAGATGAAAGATGAAGGCGGTTACAAAGCAGTAATCAGCAGCTACATCCAGGCTTGTCTGGGACTCCTGGACTAGCTGATGTCATTTCCAGAAAAATAATGGAGGAAAAAAAAGTAAATATTCAGTAGCTGAATTTCAGGCTTGCTTAACCCCCCCCCCCCCCGCTCTGGGACTGACTGCAGGACTGGAGGAGAGGGGTGGTGTCCTGTGCAGACTGAAGCCATGCTTCCTGCACCCACTGGGCTGTGGTCTGGGGATCGGTGCTACCTCTTGGTGCCTTTGTTCCCACCTTGTTAAAAGATCTGGCAGTTCAAAGAGCATCAGAACTGGCAGTCAGGTCTCAGGTCAACTGCTTGGCATGATTTTCTGCTCTCTAATTAGGCTGAGCTAATGCTGCAGCCTTTCAGCAGAAGCACTAACAAGGCCTTTTCCTTCTATCCAGAAGAGAGAACTGCTAATGGGGCTTGCAAACCCTGTAGGAACTGGCCAGTTTAGATGTTGCCGTGGAAGGGATGCTTGGTTGGTGTATGCTCAAATGAGGGTGGTGTCATAAGACACCAGCTGAGGAAGAGAACTTCCAGACACCCCATGGCTTGGGCTGCGTGAGCCCAGGTGAAATGGGATATTCCCCGGAGCCTAAGCAGATGTGTCCCTTGCACTGAATGAGTGGAGGATAACAGGAGGACCAAGGTGATGCGCAGGAGTAAGTAGATGGGCTTCCTGTTTACTCCTTAATATGCAGTAGAAGGCATTTGTGACTTCTCATGGAATTAAGTACAGGTGTTGCCAAGAGTAGCAGCTGAGATTTGAGAGGAAGAAAAATAAGTGGAGCCTGTTTCCTCAAAGTGTAAAAAAATAAAGATTTTCTCTGAGGAAGCCAATGACTTACGGCTCTGTTAGTCTGACCCATGTGGGCTTTTATAACAGTGTCCCTTGCTTCCCACTATCCCTGTATGCTAAATTATTCCACAGTTACCTCTTCGACAGACATCCCACAAATCTTGTTGACCGCCTGACCCAAGTCAGGAGAGGGTACAGATTTTCTCAGGAAGTCCATGGCCTCAGAAATCACCTACAATAGCAACAAAAATAATCATCAGGTTGGACTGTGCATCCTTGCCTGCATTGCCTGTAGGAAGTGGCAGTAGGCATGGGGCACCTTGCCCAGGTGCCCTCCCTATGCACCTGTGTTTGGTTACAGTGCCTCTGAGGAAAACAAGAAAGATCTGTTGTTGTCTGGAGAAGGAAACAGGGCTGAGTTTAGCTTGCACACAGCAGCCTCCTGGCCCTCTGGCTACGTAGGCTAGTCCTTGTGCTCCTTGGCACTCTGTCTACGGGAGATGCAGCAGCAGGGAACTGGGGAGACTTCTCTAATTCCTCCCTCTGGATGCCTTCTCTGAAATGCACTCAGTATGTCTTAGGACCTTGCAGTGGTTCTGGCTTAACATCCTAATGATTTGGACACTAGATCCAAGATCTCAGGTATAAGCACACTTGTGGTGGAACATGCCTGGATGTTACCTCAAAGTGGGAGAGGAACTTTAGTTTCACCACGGTCTTGATGTGAGAAGACCCCAGCATGCAGCCCCCACCTGCCCTAACCCTGCGGGATCACATGAGCTCCTTTACGGCTCTATGGAGCCTCCCACGGATGTCTCACAAGCAGACATTGCTGAGACATGGGATGGAAAAGCCTCAGAATTTGTGGTGGGAAGCCTGTGGTCCATTTTTGAACACCTTTGCCCCAGCGGGGGGAAGAAGGCAGGAGTGCATGTGTGGCCCTGGCCCTCTTGGCTAGCCATTGTGGCTGTTCCCACTGTACTTATTAATGACCAAACTGGTCCCATTTCACGGGTTCCCAGTTCTAATTGCTTTCCCCGGTGTCAATGAGAACCCACCAGAAACCTGGTCTGCAAGGGCTTGACAGCACTGCTGAGGGAATGTGTGAGGAAGCTGCAGGAGGAGGAGGAGGAGTTGAGCAGGCTGTGCACAAGGGTCACGCAGGCAGACGGGTTGCTGGAGCCGGTGATGTTGAAGACCTCATCAGGACCAGGGATGTCCGATGCGTCGTCACTGGCAGCACAAGGCCCTGCATGCACTGACTGCCACCGCACTTCCTGGGAGTAGGTGAGGGGCCAGCAGGGATTAGACACAGTTTTAGCGCTTTTCTGATCCTAGAGAGAGAATAAAACAAGGGTAGTGGCAGCAAGAGAGGAGGTTGGCATCCCAAGGCTTTATAGAGGAAGACAATACAACAAAGTAAGGAACAGTTGTGTTTTTTTTTTCGAGCACCACAGTGTTGTAATGAGCAGGCAGGCTGCAAACGGTTTGCCAAACCTTATCTCAGTTAATTCTACTGCAAGACCCAGATGCTGCAGGGTCCCAGCTCCTGCTGAGTTCAGGGCAAGCTGCAATGACTGGGTCTGCTGTGGGAGGCTGAGGAGCTGCAGCCTTTGGGTGTCTTGGCCCTACCTGCTCTGAGGCCAGAAATACAATTTCAATGAATAAGGTATTCTTTCTGGATAAAAGAAAGGCTGTTCTGGTCTGCCTTCCAAACACGTTCAATTCCTCTTTTGTCCATGCTCACGAGTCTGGTTGCTGAAACCCTGGGTAATCCTGCTTGCATTAGGCAGTCAGCCAGGCCTGGGCAATGCTCTGGTTTATGATGTTTCGGCCCTCATGCTCCCCATTAGTGAGGGTGACCTGGATGGCATGTAAGTTCCAGCTAGCTGCTTGCCCATGTGGGCAAGCGGGGACCATGCCAGGCTGTGAAAACCCCTTGAGAATCAGTGTTTTTTGTCCCTAGGAGTTCCCCAGTACATCTGTGGTAAATGAGGCCCTCTGTGGGGCATCCAGGTCTCATATCAGGGTCTGCACCCCAGAGGGAGGTGTGGCTGGGCACTGAGTAGCTTGTTTATGAAAAATTCAGTTTTGCTGGGGACAAGAATGATTCCTGAATTTGCATCAGATTGTGCCACCAGTCCCTGCAAGTGGGGAAAACAGTTGGGCAGAATCAAAACACCTGCATGTTTTCAAAATGAAATATTGCTCTTTTAGAAAGGGCTTCAGAGTTAGTCAGCAGGACGGCAATATCCCGAACAGAAGGTCCCTGGTGGTTCCCAGTGCTCCCCTTCTAGGATGGGGATCCAAGGGAAGTCTTTGCCTCTCTCCACCCTAAATGTGACCTTAGCACCTCTGGAGAGCAGCTTTGTGCTTGTGTGCATTAAACAGGGAGACAGGGAGTCTGCAAGTAGGAAATCCTGAACTGTGTGTCTGCTTGGATGATGGTGTACACACTCTGCAAAAGACTGACTGACGTTTTGCCCCTTAGCAGCTACACCCTGTGAAACCAGTGCAAAGGGTTGATATTATATCCAGGAGCCTCACAGCAGCCCTTCTGGCAGGTACTCACTTGTATGAGCATAGAGAGCAGCCTCCTGCGGAGCTGGTCCGTGCCATGGCAGGGGCAGTGCTGGATGTACACGTTGTGTGTCCGCCCGTACAGCTGCAGCCTCACTCCCTCCTTTGGCGCCTGGTTCCCTTCTTCCCCAGAGGTGAGCTGTGTTGAGGTTCCTCCCATCGACAGGACTCCTGCCATCCCCTTTCCGGAAGGGACCAAGTGTCCTTGCCAGTCATACTGACCCCAAAAGAACCAGAGAGGTTGGTTATTAGGACTTCTACATCTGCGTCATGGTCAGATACAAGCACTAGTGCACAGAGAAAGCAGCTTTCTGGTGCCATACAGCTGCCCACCTCCACCCCCAGGACATAAGGATGCTGAACTGCAGGATTTGGAGGGAACAGAGGTGCTGTTGTAGAACCACAGCTATCTGCACAGAGCTTTCCACAGTCAACGACAGCAAACCGGCTCACAGCCTTGGATGGCTGCTCAAGGCAGTGGTCTCAGAAGGTAGGAGCAGGGGAGAGGATGGTGGGGAATGAGAGGGAGGTTTCCAGGTGGGTAGTTAAGGGCTTCAGGTGCTGCCTTGATGCTGAAGTGCTCCTCCTGTCAGGAGAACCCTGTGGTTTCATCTCCTGCAGTCTTGCAGAACTGATTTTGGCAATGCTGAAGTTAGCAGTGTGGGCAGGAAAGCTCACACTGCAGGCAGTGCTCTGTCCCTGGCCTGGGGAGGCTGTGTTGCTGCCAGCAGGGCTAGAAATTCCCAAGCTAGTGCATGTTTGCTGCTGGTTTTCAGAACTCTGTTTCACTTCCCTGCTATGGAGTTACTCAGCTGCTGTTTGGCCTGCCTTTGTTTTGCACTTTGAGTCTTTCTTGGGAGCCATTGGATTGAGAAACCATGGAGGAAGTACAGAAAATTAAGTGCACTTTGTTGTTCAGTGTGTGCCTTCTGAATACAGACCAGGCACCTATGCTAGGGACACCCAGCTGTACTCATGCTGCCATCTCAATGAGAGGGACATTTACGGGCTTTTCCCTAGCTTCTCCGTCCACAGGCTGGTCCCTGGGACAGCTGGACCCTGGTGACAATCGCACAGTACCCTGCAGACATAGCGGCAATGCCTGTTCAACACTGGCTCTGGGCTAGGACTGAAGGTCCCTGAGCAGGGCAGTGGAATTCTTGTGTACACCCAGGAGCAGGCTGTGTAAGGTTGTTTTTGTGAACATCCTGGATGCGTTGTCCAAAAGCCTCACATCAGGGCAAGAACGTGAGCACATCCAGGCAAAGCTGTGTTAGAGGTTTGGTTCCTCAGCCTGATTTTAATCATCTCACATCATCTTCCCCCCAGCCAGCTAGTGTTAGATATAACCTGCCTTCTCTAAAAGGCAGTGCAAGCAGTGCTCAAGCATTGTTTACAGTGCAGGGATTTTTAATGGTCCCTCCACTTGTCTCTGTTGCTGTTTGTTAATGGGAATTGCTTCGGCTCAGTTCTGTACTTCCCAGGCAGGATCATCCCTTACCTTGAAGAAGTTCTCCAGGACATAGTTAACAGCAATCCAATTGAATACTTCTTTGTTTAGACTGGACAGGATTTGTGCCCCCTGAAAGTCAAAGGGCGTTGACTTCAGGGCCACAGTCAGGGCTGCGAGGAGATCGTCAGAGAAGGTGGGATGGCTGAGGCTAGACAGAAAAGAAAAAGAAGGCACAATTGCTGTTACAGGGCCTTGCCAGGAGCAGCCCACAGAGTGCACAGCTGCAGGACATCTGCTGTGCTCCCTATTTTGGGTGGCAGCACTGTGAGGCACAACGATAATCCTCATCCTGCTGCTGCTTCCCTCTCCCCTCGCACAGCACTGGTGGCAACAACAGCCTGCGCAACGAAAATGCAGAGGGAAGGTTTGAGCAGCTGTGCCACCAGTCAAGAATCTGGGAGCTTAGTACCCACTGACACTGAGGGATCCTGTGGCCTTGCCATCAGACTCCAGACTTTACTTTTCCCCAATGTCCATAAGGAGCCAGAGGTCCCAGTGAGGTGACTGAGAACAGGTCCAGTATGTAGGGTGGACCTTCCCACCACTGCTCCCAACCTGCTGCCAAGAAGCACCACTGCACACTCACGTGGATTGCCATTAAAGCTAAAAACACTTCAGCTTCCAGACTGACAGATGCTTCCCCCAGCCCTGATTGTGAAGGGACCAGTGGCAGTAGCAAGACTGTCGTCTTCATGGCTGCTTTGGGGCACAGGGTATGGACACAGCCATGCCGTGCTCCCCTCCAGTACATGGGGAGCTGAAGAAGGTTTACCTGACCAGCAGATTAGGGATGAAACACTGCAGAGCAGACAGGGTGAGACTCATTTACAGACTGATCCACATGACGTAGTGCTGATCTCTGGGTGTGGGTTTGCAACATGCACTCACTTCAGCTGCCTCGTGCTGGTGGTTGCTCCCAGGTAGAGGGGAGTTTGGCTGTGCTGCTCTGCTGGGATCCTTTTCTGGGCCCAGTTCAAACATGTATCCAAGCTCTTCCCTACTTTCTGAGGTGAATCTGAGTAGCTGGAGATTCCTGGACCTGGGGATCAGGGGAAAGAATGGAATTTTCTAGTGGCAAGATGTGGGAGAAGTTGTGGGAGGTGTTACTAGAGGGCGTGCTGTCCTTCAGGACATGCACAAAGCCAGGATCTGTCACAGGTGGAACAAAGGAGCTCCCACTTCTTCCATTTCTCTCTTCTGGGAGTAAAATGGTCAATATGTAAATACCAAATTACATTCATCTAACCTCAGCTGTGCTGCTAAGATACCCTGTAAATGACCATGCGCCAGCCACATGACTGCTGCAACAGCTGAGGCTGTCTCAGCTCAGAGGAAAAAATATAAGTGCTATAAAAGATAAGCAAAGGGCACACTGCCACGCAGGCAGCATCGAAAGTGATGTCATCTCCTTCCTCCAGCCACTTCCTTCTGTGTTGGCGGAGGTGGCTTGTGAACCAGCTATCTACCACCAGGGCACCTCTGCTCTAGAGGAAGCTGGTGCTGTGCAGACAGAAGCTGTGTGCAAGCCTTGACTCATCTTTCCGAGCGAGATTCAATGTGGTCTGAAATGTTGGTTTTGAACAACCATCCAGAAAAAGCCTGGCTTCCCCAGCCTCTGGCCCTCTCGCCTTGCTGGCTGCGTGACTCCCTCCCCAGGGGCTTTGCTCTCCTGGGCCCCGTATGGAGCTGAGCTGCAGCCTGCTTGTGGCCACTCACACAGTGACCGCACTGCCACACAGACCAAGGGCTGCCTCTCACATGTGAAAAGAGACCCTGCAGACAGGGAATTCTTGCTGCTGCTGACACCCTGCTGCAGCAGCTTCAAGTAAGTGTTCAAGCATGGAGCTACAGTTAGTTTTTTAACCCAGCCTGAGACCGTGGCAGCAGTCAAGACAAACACAAGGTTTCAGGGAGCTCTTAGTGCACCATCTGTGTGTGGTTTGTTTCGCTAGCAGCCTGCAAGAGCATCCCTTCCCTGCTTGTTGCGAGGCTGCCCTGCTACTGAGAGTTCAGGGCTTCCCAGCATTCTGCTGTAATCATGCCTCAACATCAAAGCAAGATTTAGAGATAGGGAAGAAAAACCCCAAGCGCATTAAAGCACAAAACTCTTTTAGCTGGCACCCGTGGGGCTTAGGCGACCCAAACTATTGAGGAATACCCCAGTATTCTCCAAAATGTGACACCTAAAGCCACGCTGAACTCATACGTTTGGTATCAAAGGGGTTGGAGCTGTCATGCCTCCTGTGAGGCTACACCACTCACTGCCCAGAGTACAGCTGGGAGGAGGAAAAAGTTACCAGGAGCCTCCCTGCAGCCAGACTTGTCTCCATTGCTGTTCACCATCTCCCCTGGATGAGGACCTCAGCAACCCTGGCTTGTCCACTGACCCACAGTGGATGTTGGAACCACCCCTCGGTGTGCTCCCCCAGCTGTAGCAAGCCACCGAAGCTGTCATCTGCTACTGAAGTGCTCTGACACTCAGCTGTGTATAGATAAATCTGCCCACGCTGAGGAAGACCCATGCTGAAAATAAGCAGCCTGCGCTTCACTGTTGCCAACATTTCAGGTTTCAGCTAGATGATACAGGAGCTGAGGAAATCGCAGCAGTGGACCACACACAGATCTCTCCATTTTGTTCCATCCTGTGCTAATCCCAGAGCCCAGAATTCATGGATCGGGCACCTTACCTGGCACGACACAGGAACTGCACTCTGTGATAACCCCAGTCTTGTTTGCCTTGGTAGTGGTCCAGTGGTAGATGAACAGGACAGGTGCGGGATGGGCCAGCATCCAGGACAACGCCATACTGGAAAACCCCGAAAGCATTCTAAATAAACACTGAATGCACAATTCTTTGTTATTGTAGGGCCGTTCATTGTTTTGTAGGTACTCTGGGTGACCCATGGGCCTACACAGCAGTATTTGATTTAGCTTTTTATATTCAAAGAAAGAGTGAAGGCAGGAGATGACGAGCATTTAGAGTGAAGCATCTGCATTTCTGAATATATACACGAGGAGCAGCAGAAGTGGAGAAACACCCAGAAATACATAATTTCTGTAGTGGCATGCTCTGTGGATGTTCCTGAAACCAAGCAGAGGGCTTCCATGGCAAGCCGAGCCATCTGGAGCTTGGGAAAAACAGGTCCTAGTGCAGTGGGAGACGGAACTATACAGTTTCGCAGCTGAATCTGGGACTCAGATTGCTGCTGGGTTAATATGTTAGAGAAAGAAGCCTTTCATGCAGAACTTGGAGGGCTGTGGCTTTCTGCTGCTTCTAAGGAACCCGAGACTCACTTCCCTACTGGAGATAGTGCAGCATGGGTTGGGTTTGCCCTGATGTGTGCCAGATCTGTTCGAGCCGCAGCGTACTTCGGACTAACCATCTCATGCACTGTCCCAGTGCAGCCGTCCCATGCAGACTGAGATGATGTCTTGGCAGGAACAGCAGCAGCCTGTGTGAGATTTCTCAACACCTTGTGCACTGTCATTTCTCCTACTGCCTAGTAGTGAGGCTGAGGGTTTTCTTAGTCTCCTTGCAGCCCAGGGATCTGGTCTGTTTGCCACTAATTGAACTTGGCAGTGCTGCACCTGGTACATGAGGGTTAGGAAAGGAGAGACCACAGGGGTACCCTGCAGTGCAGCTCTCAAAATGCCCTTAAAATAGCACTCGTGCTAGCCTTGGGTATCGCTTCCCCATTCCAGTCTGGGACATCTACACAGGAAAGCAGTGTAGATCTGGGAGTTATGCGGTAGTGTGTGGTCTAAGCTGCATCTTCTACAGAAATACTCATAGCTGTCACTGAGTGGGAGGAGAAAGCTCTGGAGAGGCCTCTAGAGAGGCTGGTGCTTGCAGTGTCGGAAGGGTTTTAGCAGAAGATGGAGTCTGGCTCAGCCCTGCCTGCTGCCAGCTGCCTGCACCCTTCCTGGGAGCTCCCGGGCTCGGTGCTGGGGCTGGAGCTGGTGCGGCTGGAGCCTGAGCAGAATGCGGAAAGGGGACGCAGCTCCCTGCCCGAGCCTGCTGGCATCCTCCCACACGAGTGACAGCTCGTATTTCTGGCAGGGACATGTCAGCTGCCGCAGGAGAGGAGGAAACAAATGGTCTTGGTGGAGAAGCCGGGATTTTTCCTCCCTCACAAAATGAGAGAGCGCTGCTGGGAGCGCAAGGCAGGGGAGAGGATTGCTGCTTTAGTGCCACAGCTCAGCATCAGGGAAGGAAAGAGGTGCTGGCAAAGCATGGAGTAACAGGGTTTTTTTAATCCAGTTTTGTTTGAGAAGCCTGGGGGAGGATAGTGTCTCTAAACTTGTAGGTTAGCCTAGTTCTGAATAAACCACAGTGTGTGACTAAGCACACCTCAGCAGCTTTGTGTCAAGAAGCACAGGCAGATCTGACAGCTGTGTGTGGCAGGCTGGATCTTCAGCTGAGATCAAGAGGGGAAAGGAGAAGTAGGAGAGAAAACCCTACCAACTTCAAAGAGGGACCCAGCTCTTTCCCTCCCCTGAAACCACGGCCCCTTGCTGCTGTGGGGTGGCTCCTGCTGGGGGCTGCCTCTGCCCAGCCCACACGGGGCATTTCTGCTGGCTGATGGACAATGCTCAGCCTGTGCCTCCCCTCAACATCTGGGCACCTGGACCCAAAGGCTCAGCTTGGTTTTGGTTTGAAAAGCTACACTATGCCGAAGGATGCTCTTGGATCCTCACAGCCTTGTTGTGATCCATGCTCTGTTGTTTCAGGCTACGAAGTCAGTAGCTCAATGAATCTAAAAAGCAACAAAACGCCAGTTTGTAGTTGAAGTGCCTGGCTTGCACCATGGAGAGGCACAAGGAAACAGGCAGGCTCTCCTTAAGCAATAGCCCCATAGCCACGGATAGCGTCCTTTGCTTATTGCCCCTCTTGACCCCAGCTTTGCCACCCCTGCCGGAGCCGTTCGCCCTTACCTTGATCTTGAGCGGGGCGACGGGCACGTCTTTGGTGGAGACGCAGAGCAGCACGATGCCCGTCAGTCCCGCTACGATCACCAGCCAGGGGGGAAGGAGCTCACGCCAAGACATGAAGCACTTTTTGTCAGAAAGTCAAAGAGGAAGCAGAGGAGCAGCGAACGCAAGCTCACATCTGACAGCAGCTGCTTTCTACGAGCTTTAAAAAGAGGAGAAAGGCGGGGCCAGGGCCAGGCTCTGGCTTCAGCCCAGCCCCAAGCCACAGGGACCATGAGGAGCGCGTGGGCCAGGCTGCGACGGGCCGGGCAGAGCACCCGTCTGCCAGCCATGCACACAGTCAGTGCAACCACAGCTTCGTGCGATTCCGGTGCTCGCTTGGCAGAGGCATCGCCAGAACCTCGAAACCGCCCCGGGCAACGGTGTTGAGGGTAAACAGAAATGCGGGGTGAACTCTCCTGTTTAATAAGCAGGAAGCAGGCAAACTCATCGCGCTGGTATTCTGCGCCTGGCAGTGCTAGCAGGAGCTGCCAAAATTAGAAATGGGGAAACTCCTCGTGGCTGGGTTTCCTTTTCATCCGAGGGCCGTGCTTGGCACTGGTGTGGACCTGAGGCGCTCCCTGCAAGGATGCCTTCATCTGCGATGGGGCAGAGCACTGGCGTGCTGCCTCCAGACTGCTCGTGGTGCCTCGTCTGCACTCAGGTGGCAGCTGAGATGGGAAAACATCTGCATTTTTGGGTTCCACACACAGGAGGCTCTGGCTGGCTTGCTCCTTGCTTTGGGTGGGAGGCAGCCGGGGCTGCTCAGGCCGTTTGGCCCCCAGGCCTGTATCAGCACCAGTGCCTGCATGCCCCTTCCCTCACAAAGACACATCCCTGAAAACAGAGTTTCTGAGGAAGAATCTCTTAGCCTCAGGAGAGGTGTTTCTTTCAGGCTGTTCTGCTCTGCTTCCCAGTGACTGGGTCTAGTAATAAACCTGCAACTGCTTTAAAATAAATGTTTTGGCTTGTACAAACTGACCTGTTTCTTGGCAAGGCAATCTTGACCCCATGGCCACCAGAAGACTTCACCAGCCAGGCCTGTACCTGCAGAATGACTAGAAGAATGACACCATCAGGGTGTATTTGGAGACACATCTCTTGGTCTGAAAGTTGTTTTAAGCCTTTATCTTCCTGCAGAGTTCAGACTCCAGTTGAGACTTTGCTGGTGCATAACTGGAAGGCATAAGCAGCTGTTTTGTCTACACAAATGCCCCACTTTGCAACAGGGACATGGATTAAATCACCAGAGTGCTGACGTTCCCATGCTTTCATGTCTGCCCAGAAGGACAGGCAAGCTTTCACACGGCTCGCTGGGAAAGATTCCTACCGCAGTTCAGCTTTGTGCAGCATAGCAAGCAAAATAGGTGCCCCAGGCATCCTCCTGTCTCAAAGAAATGCTGCGCACACACGTGGGGTGTGTGCAGCAGCTGCTTGCACCAGGGTGGCTGTCTGAGGGCTTATGGACACTGGCTGGTCACGGTAGTTTAGACTGACTTCATGGTACTGATAAAAGCACCCTTGAGACACAGGACTCTTAGTCCTGCCCTTGCTACTAGCCTTTTGGGGGCTCTAAATCACATGGGTTTTGCTTTGATTGTTCTGCTGACTGCTGGGCAATTGCCAAAGGGCTTTCTGCGAGGACTTGGACTTGAACTCTTGCAAACTCTAGATATGTAAATATCCCGACGCAGCCAAGAGAGAAAGTAATGCAACCTGCTTCTGTGCCCCATGGCTGGATAATGGTATTGAGGTATGAGGTGTCTGTGTACGAGCTCACACAAACTTTGGCTTCCAGCCAGGAAGGGGAGAGCACAGCCCTGGTGCAGGGCTGCAGAGCTGTAGCAACTATCCCGAAACTTCACGCTGGTGGCGGCCAAACGACAGACGGGGAAAGGCATTTACCCTGCTGAGTGCCGTTTTTGGTGGCGTTTCCCGATTTCACCACTTCCAGCGGGGCAGAAAAGCTGCTTTGGGCCGCAGGCGGCCCGGAACCTTCGGTGCGGCGCCGCGCGTTCCGCGGGACGGGAAGGGCGGCGGGACCGCGCTGCGCTGGGGGACCGGGCAGCGGGGCGGACCGCGGCGGGGCCGTGGCGGGAGCGGGCCGGGGGGGGCGGCGGGGCCGCCATGTACGCGGGGCTGCAGGAGCTGGGGGTGGCCAACGGCGAGGACCTGAAGGAGACGCTGACCAACTGCACCGAGCCGCTCAAGGCCATCGAGCAGTTCCAGGTGAGGCGGGGTCGCCATGGAGACCCCCGGCCTGCACCGGGCCTCGGCGGGAGCAGCCCCCCGGGGAGCGGGGCTGGGTGTGGGGAGGGGGCGACAAGACCCGAGGAGGGGGTGTCCGTGCTTTGTTTTGTGTGTTGCTTTCTTTGCTTTTTTTTTTTTCTTTTTCCCTTTTTTGTTTCTTTTAAAGCCAGCATGGCTTCAGCAGCCCTCGCTGTCGCTCCCTGACCGCCCCCTGTCCCGTGTTTGTGTTGGCAGACAGAAAATGGGGTCCTGCTGCCCTCCCTGCAGTCGGCGCTGCCCTTCCTGGACCTGCACGGCACCCCCCGGCTGGAGTTCCACCAGTCGGTGTTCGACGAGCTGAGGGAGAAGCTGCTGGAGCGGGTCTCGGCCATCGCTTTGGAAGGGAAAGTTGAGGAAAGGTTTGTCGGCAGGGTTCTTGGTTATTCACAGTGAGCTGGGAATTTAATGTGAAAGCTACAACAGATGAGAAAATGAGAAAACTCTCTGCAAAGGAGAGTTGACTTTTCCGGGGGTTCAAGTTCCAGTGTTTGAGATAAGCCGCTTTGGTCCTTTGCTGTTAAATGGTAGTAGAGCATCTTGCTCTTCTGTGTTTTTAGGTACAAGAAGCTGGAAGATCTCCTGGAGAAAAGCTTTTCCTTGGTCAAGATGCCTTCCATACAGCCCGTGGTAATGTGTGTCATGAAGCACTTGCCCAAGGTAAAACCGCTGCTCCCCTTGGCCTGTTCTGTTACATCTCTGTTACACCATTTCTCTTAACTGGGCAGGGTTGCAAGCTCTGGCTGCAGACCCTCTGCAAGTGTTAGGAACTGACTGGAAAACTTGATTCTCATGGCTTTTAACAGCTCTGTACTGAGGTGTTAATTCAAAAAGCATTTTACTTCTTCAAAATCTGCTGGGACAGTTGCCCTACTTTATTTAATATATGCACCTTTCTAAAAGAAGTCAAGTTCGCTGATACGTGAATTTTTCTATAGCTGACTGAAAATCCATAGCAAATGGAAAGTAAAACTTGAAGAATGCAATTAGAAGCAGGCAGGATTGAAACTCAGATTTGTGAAACAAAAATCTCTATGAATAGCATTATTAAAAGTATCATATCGTACTTAAGGTAATGGGTACAGAACTGTCACTATCAGAACTTTTATAAGCCACTGAATTTTAAATCATCACTCCAAATCGTACTGTCACATACATAAAGTCTTTTGTTCTCTTTGAAAGAAATAAGGAAAAACTTGATGTGTAACTTGCTTGCTTAAGAATTTAAGTGTCTTAGGAGTAGCTTATTGCTACTGGGGTAGGGAAGGCAAAAGATGAGACTGTGATATCTTATTTAATTGTATTGTTTTGTAAATTACTAGACTGCCTGGGATGGTGATTTAGATGTCCTCTGCAGTCGCTTACCTATTGCTTGGACAGTCAGCCAGGTGAGGTTCCCTACACTTAGGTAACTGCTCTGTTGATCACAGGTCCCTGAGAAGAAGCTGAAGTTGGTAATGGCCGATAAGGATTTGTATAAAGCATGTGCAGTGGAGGTGAAGCGCCAGATTTGGCAGGATAACCAGGCGCTGTTTGGTGATGAGGTATCTCCGCTGTTGAAACAATATATCCTGGAGAAAGAAAACATTCTCTTCAGCAATGAAATTTCTGTCTTGAACAATTTCTTCAGTCCATCTCCCAAAGCAAGACGGCAGGGAGAGGTAAGGACAAGGAAACCTCTTAAGACACACTTGTGAATGTTGTTTGTTACCTTGCAGTCAACCTCATCAAACAGTGAGGTGTTGGTTTCAACCACCCAACTTTGCTACTAAATTTGCAAAGTATTTTGCAACAAAATACTTTGGCTGGACAAAGTATTTGCAAGAAATACATTCCATTATGTCTTCCACATCTTGATCAAAGCAGCAGGAATTACTTTAATAGTTGCTTGAGGCAGTGTAATAATTGATGAATGTTCTGAGCTGTTTATGAACTTTTAAATGTTTTTCTGTATTGCTCAGTCTGGCTTTAATATCCCTCAGCTGTTCTGCAAGCAGAGCATTTCTTATCAAATCAATTTGATTATCTTAAGTGTTTTTTTTTTGTTTGTTTGTTTTTTTAAGCAGGATAGAGAAACCAACATTTTTTTTTTTCTTAGTTGGAAAGGAACATAGAAAGTTCCTATCCTAAGCTGGCTTTCAGAAAAGTTGCTCTTTGGATGGAATTACATGAGGGGACAGAGCTGATCTAACACTGCTGCTGGAAAGGCAGGTGGTGCTCCTGCCCTCCCTCCCTCTGGCTCTGGTGATATCAGCCCCTTCCATGAGCTGATTCAGCTCAGTAAGTGCTACAGAATCTTCAGCAAATAAAACCAGTAAGTGGGTTTCCAAGGCAGTGAGCTAAATCTGCTCAAAGAAGAGATCATCTGGGATGAAACCCTTTGCAAAGTGCCTGCCTGTGTGAGCCATCCTTTTTGTGCCAGGGAACAGTGGCATAGATGTTAGGAGTGGGTCTCTCTCTTTGTAGCAACAGCCAGCTATTAGATTGAATCAGCTGCAATGTGTCACTTAGGGGACTTTTTCTCCAAAAGGCCAAAAGGGAAATACCAGAGTTTCTGCAAGGACCTTGCTACTGAGAATGCAAAGGAATACCAGGGATAAGGAAGTACAGAGCTTTCGTTTCAGAGGAGTACCACATCTGTTACAGTTATGCGGGGGATGTGGTTTGGATCTGTTTTGCTTTCAAAAGCCAGCTTCTAGTGCTGGTACTCTGGTGCAATTGGTTTCAGATTTATACTGCAGACTTCACCTTCATTCACATGTCCACAGCCTGTAAATAGATAGAAATACAACAAGTCTTTCAAAAAAAATGAGCTGCTTTCCATGTTACAGTAATTATTACATTATTTGATACCAGGTAACTGAGCACCTTAACTTTGCAAATGCTGCTGCTACTTTCCACACACCCCCCAAGAGAGCCTGTTTTCAAAATGCCTGGCTTCCTGGCTCTCTCATGGCTGTGAAAGATTTGCTCAGCATCTCTTGAAGAAGCACTTTGTCAAATCCTGATTTGAGATCATAAAATATCACGAGTTGGAAGGGACCCATAAGGATCATCAAATCCAACTCCTGGCACCGCACAGGCCTACCCAAAAGTTTAGACCATGTGACTAAGTGCACAGTCCAAATGCTTCTTAAATTCAGACAGGCTTGGTGCAGTGACTACTTCACTGGGGAGCCTGTTGCAGTGTGCAATCACCCTCCAAACCACCCAAATAATTGCTTTTGAGGAGCTCATGTCAATGCAGATGTTTCAGATTTGATAAATCACTTGGAATAAATAACATTTTGCGTGTGTGTGGTCATGGTATTTCTTGGTACTGAGCGCACATTTTTCCCCTTTGGGTTTAGGTGGTTCAGAAGCTGACTCAGATGATTGGGAAGAACGTGAAGCTCTACGATATGGTGTTGCAGTTTCTGAGAACATTGTTCCTTCGGACAAGGAATGTTCATTACTGCACGCTACGGGCAGAGCTCCTGATGTCACTGCATGACCTGGAAATCAGTGAAATCTGCACCGTTGACCCCTGTCATAAGGTATTAATCATGTGGGACAGATGGGAGTATTACTGGAGAATTTTCTGTTTCGCCCACTCCTGTGCATACCTGCTGCCCTGCAGGACTTCAGACCAGAGAAGATGAGTCCTCTCTGTGAAGAGAGTTCAGACCTTGAATCCAAAAGTCATCTTATAGTCCTTGGAACTTCAGGTGAAAATTTCATCTCGGTTAACCAGCAGCTTGCTTCATTTCATAACCCATAAATCATTCAAATTGATGGTACTCGTGGAGCGTTAAAAATAGCATCTAATCTGACCTATGTAGATGCTGCAAAAAATAAGCAAAAACATTAGCTAGCCCCAGGTTCTTAATCAAAGCTTGCTTTCCTTCCTGTTGTGCTGGTGTGATACACTCCATCTGTCAGTAAACTTTGTGTGTAACATTAAATACTTTGAATCCTGAATTTTAAAAACTATTAGAATACTGGGGTGTGGTGGGCCTGGTGTTAGCGTCACATCAGGGTTTTGTTACTGGTCCTTTGTCCATGGTCGGCATTGTTCTGATCTACAAGAAGACTTCTT